CTTTTCCTTGTCTGCTGGTAGCCCTCTCTCTACCTGAGAACGGGAGTACAGGACTGAGAGCTCTCAACCGTCCAGCTTCCAGCCTATTCAATATTCCGTGGGCTGGACACTCATTGAAGCCGCCCGAAGTACAATTGAGGCTCGGACCACTTTCTTGAAGCCGGAGGCATCTTCTGCAGCCGCAACTTGCAGGACCTGAAAATCAACTCTTCACGGCGTCTTCATCGAAGAGCCCTGTGAAGTTCTCGCGGAATGATTGTGCATCACATCCGGGCAGCTGAACGCAGCTCAGATTTGGAAAGAGCCGCCCATGAAAAAATCCTCAGAACCCTTTTGGAACCCTGTAAGATCTCCTCAGCCTTTCAGCGTGACTCCAGGTGCTGCAGAGAACAAGCAGGGCTTGGCTTCCTGCGATTTCTGTGTTGCTGTAGTCCTCATCCTCCTTCTGCAAGCCCAACCTGTGTAGGAGGGACTTCCAGGTGTTCGGTGAAGACAAAGAGTAATCAGTCCAAAACACTTCTCACACTACTGAAATAAAGCAATCGCAACTCCACCAAGCAACACAGCTAATGCGACTGCACCTGGCGATGCAGCTTAGGCTCACGACACGGCAAGGTAGTTAAAGGTCCAGCAGACAAACAAAACACACGCACACACACACACACACACGCACACAAAACCACAGAATCACAAAGCACCCAAATAAGGGCTAACATGATCAGAATCATGTTTTGAGTATTTAGACTCTAGAGAGAGAGAGAGAGAGAGAGAGAGAGAGAGAGAGAGAGAGAGAAAGATTAAAAAAACATGTGTGTGTGTGTGTGTATTTATATGTAGATATGATCCCGGTTCTCGGTTCACCGACCCCCCCCCCCACGCTCCCCAAGCCGAATCTGTGTGTCCACACGAGGGCTCACACGCCAAGCAGACCCACGCAGGAAACCCAAACCGCACCACACCACAGGGGGGAGTCGGGTAACCAGCCTAAGCAGACCCACCGAACCACACCACACCACTGCAGACCCACGCAGGAAACCCAAACCACACCACACCACAGGGGGGAGTGGGGTAACCAGCCTAAGCAGACCCACTCCCGAACCGCACCACACCGCACCACACCACACCACAGGGAGGGGGAAGCAACCCACAACTACACCACACCACACAAAAGGGGGGGGGCATTGGGGGGGGGAGGGGGGGGGGCCGGCCGAACCGGGATCATATATGCTTTTGCAGATGCGTATGATGCAATAAGTCCGCCATATAGTGGACGACGTCCTCAATCCCAGAGTCATTTGGCATGCGCCACGTGTACCCCCAACCCTTGGAGCTAGTTTGAGCAAGGGCTGCGGCGCACGCTTCCCACCTGAACCTCAAACTCTAGAATCCTGGAACTAGGTGGGGCTTTTAAAGCCTTTGAAAAATGTTAGTAAGCAAGATCCTCTTAAGCCCAATAAGGGAAAATATAAAATGTCCCAAAGCCCTACCCAGTGGAAGAACTGCAGGGGGCCCGGCAACTTCAAGGCACGGGAAACCAGCTCGGCCTCTTGAGCAGTGTCCTGGGCGAAGTTTTACGTCGCGGCCCCGTGGCCCAAGATGAGGGCCCTGGGGCTTTTTTCCCTCCTACTTAAAGGATCATGGGACTTAGTAACTGGGGTTATAATTAGGGTAACTATACTTATAACCCCAATTAGGGTACTTATAACCTTACTTACTAATTCCCATGATCCTCCAAGTACTTAGCAAGGACGAGGCCCCCATTGCAGGTTATGTTGGTTGAACAGTTGACAACGGCCATGATATTCTAAGCCAATTATGTCTCCAGTACCAGGGTGACTTGATGACACAGGATGTTAGCGCTTTTACTATCGTAAGAAAATGCTAACAGAAAATTAGAATCCTGCAGATAGTACTTGCCGAACTACGAGTAGGACAGTGATATTCGTTTTTTCTCCAGGATTTACTGAACGGCTCAGAAAGGCATTTATGAATCTACCGAAGCTTCCGAGAAGACTTTGAACTGTCCGCGTTCAGCCTTGATCCTAGATGCCTTGACTGCTTGGCATGCTTCGGCTTTGCTGGGTAGCAAACTTCTTGCTCTCACTTCTGAGACAGAACGACTACCCGGGTCAGAGTGCATCCTATCCTGCAGTACACTGCATCTCACAACGACACCCGCTGGGGCCAGAACCTTGCCACACCGGCGACACCGACGCAGCGCGCCAATCTGAGCCAGCTGAGATTGCTTGTCAAAGAAGCTGACGGTGGGGCTGTATGGTTAGAGCCCGACAATACAGTACCCTACACCTTGAAACCCTGAGGTGGTTCTATTCACTATTCGGCGTTGTAGCAAGCAACAGCTGCCATGGCCAGTCGTGGCTGCCAGGTGAAACTGAAGCAATCCCATCAAAACTGAGAAGAAAGCATCAGCAAGGTATGCCAAGTACACCTGGCCAGGGGAGGATTTGCTCGGGATTTCTGCATGAAGCTTCAGGCAAGGAAGATGATGCAGTCCGACTATCCGGAATGAATAGGTGCCGACAGTGACTGAGGGTCACTGAAATGCGCATTGAACGTCAAGTCTTCCCTCATTTAGTTCGCATTGCCACCACACGCACAGCACATGCAAAGCAATCGACATGCATATTCACAAGTGTCAAGCCCTGACAGTCTGAGCCATCCCCAGTCTTAGTCGCCCTATCCGCGCAGTGACTGAGGACTCCACCAGGGCTGGTTCTCCAGCAAGGGTGATCTCAGTGCGACGGGGGCTCTGATCCACTTTACTCTGAATGCTGAGAGCTGAAAGCAGCCTTGGCCACTCTGACTCTCCTCAGTATTCCTGCCTCGTCCAGACCGCGTGTGCACAAAAATCGCTGTGCAACGTACGTTGGCAGCCGTGTGCATGCATGACATGCTTCGATGTACCAAGACTCCTCTAGGGCTCTTATGCTGATTAGTAACCGATTGTGAACGTCTCGCTCCTGGATCCGCCGTGGGCATGATGTGTGTGTTTCTTTCTGCTTCGTCTGACCCATCCGGGTGAGAAGGTGAGATGGATACCTGTTTGCTGATCCTTGCCGTCCGTGTTTTCCCGATCCCGGCGTGTCTCCGGAGTGATATTACGAATTCTTCAGGCCCCTAAACTGCTAAGCCGGGCCAAGACAGCGACCAGTGCTTCCCAGATGTCCACGACGCCGGGCGTGATGAAAGCGACCTTGCCAGAATTCACAGGGTTGCAGGCTTTCTAGATTGAAAGCGTTTTGGGTTGCAAAGCCGTGAAGAGCAAAACATGATGAATGCCACAATAGACATGAGACTTGGCAGTATGCTGCTGCTGAAACTTGTTTAACCCAAACGGTGCCTGCTGGCTTGCCGCCGTTGAGTATCCGGTCAGTGGGTTTGCAGATACACAAGCGATTTTGCACGGCTTCTGGCCAGGAGTAGTGGCTTCATCATGCTTCCTCAACTGACAGCCCGTAGTGGCAGCCGAAGCACAATGGCAGCCAGCCAAAGGTAGGCGAAGAACATGAAGATCTCAGTGCCAGGTCATCTTTGCAGATTAGATCCGAGTCGACATTATCACTACTCTCCGTATTACTGCTATTTCTACAACTATGGCTATGGCTGTGTTTGTATTATTGCTATTACTATTTCAGACAAAAGCTTCCATTTATTCGTCGCATCATGCTGCTATACTTTACATGAGAACAGTACCGAGTCCCAGCCCTAGCAATTCAACCTGTTCTCTTAGCTGAGTTGTCCTTTAAACCCTTTGAAAATTATTTACTATTTTGGTTCTCTACAAACTAGTAGGGAAATTTACCATCATGGTTCTCTACCAACTAGTAAGGAAAATTAAAAAAAAAAAAGATCCCAAAGCACAACCCAGTTAGAGGTGCCGGGCCGTGGCACCTCCGACTGCAACACCGGCGCTTGCAGGTTTGGTGGTTTCGACTTGCACACTCGCTTAAGGTAGGCACGGATTCAGGCGGTTTTTTCCCTCCTACCTAGCAAGGACGAAGCCCGCATTGCAGGGTATCTCAGAAGAACAGTTGGGATTCAGGCGGTTTAGGGTTTAGGGTTTAGAACGGGAGGGTTTAGGGCTTGTAGGCTCCGGTTGTGGGACAGACAGACAAACACGTGGACAGGGGCGACTGCATAGCGGAAGGCACGCTGCTTCGTGGGATGCCCATCAGTCCAATAAGGCAGCCACGACTGTGACTACGAAGACATCCATGTCTTTCATCCGACGGAGTTCGCTGCTGGGAATCACGAACACGCATAGCCTGGCAAAGTCGGCAACGACATGGGGAGTTTCCGAAAATTAGGGGTACCTTCTTTGGGGCTCCTTGTAATAAGGATCCTGCTATTTAGGGTGCTATATTTGGGTCCCCTATATTCGGTCACTCGCACATGACAGAAACAGGTTGTGAAACGTGATGGCAAGCCACGCAAACCGCAGCTCAACTGCATCTTATGTCACGGAAACTGGAGCTGTACACTTTGACTGAGCATGAACCGTCCAACCTGCAACCATCTGGAACCTGACAATGCCAACCAACTCTTAGCATTCAAACAGGCAGTGGTCCGCCCGACAATCACGAGCAAGTTGAAGGAGGCGGATCCTGTGATCGTGGCCTGGGACCAGCTGGTTCCGGTTTCAAGTCTCGAGTGAGCGATTCCAGAATCAGCAGTACTCTTCCTTTCAAGTCCCTCTATCTATATCTATATCTCTATATATATATATATATATATACCTATCTATCTTTGTTTGTTTCTTTGCTTATTTCTATACCCACACATGTATGATTACAGACAAATACTCCGATCCTCTACATCAAAACCCGGGGGACAAAGGTTCCCTGATCTCAGAGCAGGTGTCATCAAACTAAAGTTCGCAAAACATGGCTCGGAAACTTCCCACATCTCGTCCAGGGCTAGATACACTTCAGCAGCTAATGTGCGACCGTTACAGGACCTGTGGCTTGAGATAAAGAAACTCACAGCGAGATCGAGTCCCCGGCAGAGCCAAGCTCCCCGATATAGAAGTCCTGCAGAGCGGCCACCAAATGAGTGTCAAGGCATTCCTACAGCTCTTGCCACGCCCTTCGGACTGAATCACATGAGGTTCCCTAAACCCTAAACCCTAACTAAACCCCTAAAGGAACCCTTAATAAAATCCCTAAAACGACCCTCCCTAAACCCTAAGCCGCAAGCAAGAACTGATTTGCAGGTCTCGGGTTCCTTGTTCAGCGTCTCAACGACAGAGAGCAGGATCTCGGGGGCGGAAGATCCAAGTGCCTTGCCGTCGTAGCTTATGGCTGTGGAGAGAGGCGTGTCATGAACAAAGCAACTACGGAGAAGAAGGAAATATCGGGGCCAATTTGGAGCCCCTTATACTAGAATTATAGTAAGCAGCCACCAAAATCGTGTTGGTAATTATTAAAGCACCTATTTTAACATCATCCCGTGTCAATTTTCGAAAGGCTGTGCAAACACCTGCCAACACATGGCATCTTACAGGTAGCAGCCAGTCGAGTTAGACTTAGACATAGAAAGGCTACACATCATCGACAACTCCTCCCAATGGCACAGCCCTTAGCGTCACCCAAACACAGACAGAACACAAATTGCCCAGCTGACCTCGGTCGGAACATCTAGGGATGCCCCGAACCTCTTGCCAGCCATGGCACTAACAGCGTGAGATTCGCCACTGTCGGATTCCAAACCTCGGGTTCCACATGAAAATAAGTGAAGGGCACGAGGAGTCGTGGACTTGTGTCGAAACGGGCATGGGATCGCCAACCACTCCGAAGCAGGCTGGCGCAGAGGCTGGAGAAGGCATGTACGAACAGGGAAAGAGTTCTGGACCCTGCCTCTAGCTCTCTTGAAGGAAGTATGTGTCATGCTTATGAGGCACATGCGGCAAAGTCTGCTCGACTGCAGCGCCAAAGAAAGCACAGACAACCCTGGGAAAAGGACACCGCACACAAACTCTGGCGATGCTCATGGCAGTCTCATTCTGGGCCCCTGCTTTGTACGTTATCGTGCGCCCATCCTTCTTCATAACCTGTCAACATCTGATGCTGAGTGCCGTCGGGGAATGACAGATGCCGCGAAGCCCCCCTCGACATCGGAAAAGGCAAGAGCCTTTAATAACTGCATCACCGCCTCTCCGCCACCCCGGCACTAAGAAAGCCAAACTACTACTGTCCTTACGATTGCCACTCTGACTGCCCCGGTATCGGTGATACTATCCCTTTTAACCAAAGAAGACCATTTCATTTTGTCAGTATTATTAAAATTAATATAAATATTTAGATGAATAGTACCATTAGTATTTTTTATTAGCATTTTTAATATTGTTTAAACCCCGGGCTCCAAGGGATCCCAACTCCAGGACAGCGCCTGTTTGGATCGACTTGTGATCTCCTCAATACTGTTCATGAACATATCGGCCACAATCGAGACCTTCGGCTGGGAGCTGAGGTTGCCTTTTAAGGCTTCACGAGGCTCAGCTCAGAATCATCCGCTGCCCTGAAGGGATACTTGGAGCTGTGTGTTTTCGCCAGGCTTGGCTCAGGATGCCAATCTCGGCACCATAAGAACTAACAAGAATCAAGAGGAGCCAGAAAATCTGACTACCGATCTCTCGGACACCACGGAGAAGCTGCTTCTTTTCTTGCTTTGGACAAGAAGGATATACTATAATATACTGGACTCACACGATATTTGCACTGTAGTATTTTTCGGTATCATGTGCAGGGACCCTAATATGGGCCTTAATAATTAGAGTAAGGTTTTGGGGCCCACTGTAGTATTTTTCAGTATCATGTACAGGGACCCTAATATGGGCCTTAATAATTAGAGTAAGGTTTTGGGGCCCATTATGCTATAATAAGGAACCCTCCAAATAGTATAGGCAATTATTATTGGGGCCCCTATATTAAGCCGTAAACCCATTCCAGGAGACGCCAACTGCTCGAAGCTGACGATCTCTGCGGTCACACCACAGGTCAGCCGGTTCGCTTCGTTCTGGGATTCTGCTTATAGCATGTTACACTGCATTAGTGTATTATATTTCGAAATGTCATACTACATTTTCCTGCCTTGTGCTATACAGTGTCAAATATTGCATCACAATATGTTACAACATTGGGTTATATACTACATCAAACCATACCATATTACGTCTTACCAGGCAAAATCTTGTCACATCCTGTTTCACATGTTGGTATATGACCCCATTTGCCCTCAAATATGTGCTATACCATGCTATACTAACCTATACTATGTTCTACTATAAGATAATATAGTGGATTATCATGTCGTCAACAAGCTTTGAGTTAATATAGCAATATCCACACTTAAACCACTACAACACGTTGTGGTAAGTTCTAACTTACGAGGTGCCAGGTAATACTATGTGACTATGTTATACGACTATATACTTTACATTCAGCTAGACGGTTTATGATGCTATATCGTAATGCAGAATGTTATGCTATGTGATGTTTATGTGCGTACATCTGTATAAATAGATACTGTCTGCTTATTCCATATCCCACCGTATCACATGTCATTGTTTTTAAATTATATGATGCTAAAATCATGCATATTACAGTATATCATAGTTCGAGTGTGTTAGAGCATCTAACCGTATATTAAACGTGCTGCAGATGGCAGATCACTGTGGCTTGAAAGCAAGCTGAAATGAAGCATCCTGTCACCTGCAATTTCGCCTGACTATTCCGGCATAGGCTGCATAAGGTGTCAAAAAGACCCAGACCTGGGGATGCAAATGCATTGAGGAGCTGACTCCCAGGAACATGTACACCATACCGACCTTCCAGCAGACGACATTTTGGCTTATTGAGCTCACATGGCCTGCCCGCTGCCACAGCTACATTAAAGTCGCATTCAGAGCCCGACAAGCAAGTCTGAGGTGGGCACGCCATACAATATCGCCCGAAGGGGCTTGTTCCACAGATGCCTTGGCAGCTGCCATTGAATCAAGACGAGTGTAGTTTGAGGATGTAGGTTCGCATGCCTGTGTGTTTGGGATGACGTGTCCTTGGTTCCTCCTGCACAGGGGGCGGGGTGAGGTTGGGGAGGGCATGTCGGATCGAGGTCAAAATTAACGTGCTGTGGGGCCCCTCAGTTCAGAATTCGAGCGTTATCAGCCGCACCCCGTGGTTATAAGAACTCCCAGAGCTGTGACAACCGAGTTCGCGACTCATCCGCGAACAGGGGCAGCAGGCTTCCGCTGCCTGCGATTGGAGTCACAACTTCTCCGGGAAGCGTGGCTCGGATCCATTCCAATCAGAGCCAGTTCCCCGGGTGCCCGAAACTGCCAGACAATCGTAGCTCGCCACCCTGACGGCAATCAGCGAGCCATCGTGTTACCTCAAACTTCGAATCTTGACTGTACATGACTATACCCCAAAAAACCCTAAACCCTAAACCCTATAACCTTCAAAATACCCGAAACCCCAAAAAGCCCCCTATGACCGCCCTTAGCCCCCCCGGTAATTTCAGCCCTAGCTCGGCGACCTTCGGCCGAGCATATCGGAGGCTCGGGACCTGCCAGAATGCTTTGGGGGGGCTCTTAGGGGTTCAGGATTTGGTTTTTTTTTTTTTGAGGGCCCTTTTCCTTCCTGCTACAGTCGGAATACCTTGGGGTTCAGGGTTTGGGGTTTAGGGGACTCTTAGGGGTTTGGGGTTTGGGGACAAGGCAAAATGCTCCCAAGGATGGAGGGTTTCGGCACTTATACTCGGACAATCCAGGCGAGGCATATGGTTGAGTGAAACGAACCTAAGGGAGCATGGAGGGTTTCGGGTTTCAGTGCAGGCAACGGTATGGCTTTGATCGCAAGTTTAATGTGGAGTGTCACCCCGTGCCAACCACCCACAGGCCCCAAAGTAGTTCCTTTTTGGGATTACCTTATAGGATTCTACATATGAACCCCAAAAAGGAACCACTATGGGGCCCATGGATAGAGTCCTTTAAGGTACTTTATGTCAAGCTTGCAGAACCTAGCTGGCTAGACAGGCGCAGTATACCACAAGTCTCGTATACGACCATATACGACGATATACATACACCCCTCCGGTGTCACTTTCGGATCTGCATCCGCTGTCGTGTGCCTTGCAGGTGACCCGACAACTCCACATTGCAGGGAAGTGCTCTCCCGTCGGAAAACCGGGCTCTTCTTAGGGAACTAGGCTGGGGTAACCATCGGAAACCATAATATAAATAATGATAATGAAAATAAAAAATGACAATAATAGTAATACCGTCTGCCAGTTACTATCGATCCACTTGTTTTTTTTTAGCTCGCGGCCTTCGAAGATATCGATCCACTTTATGGTATGTATGTAATTTAAATCAACTACCCTAACAGGAACCCAGATGAGGGGACTCCATTCCGAATTTACCAGGGGTCTGGCTACCCAGGGCCATCTCTGGCAAAGAGCACACGGACGGTCCTGAGCACGAAAAGCATGCACAAGGTCCACGAGTAACACGATCGTCCCGGACAAGGCTGCTTTGGATGTGCAGTGGATACACACTTACGAGTTGCAGCAAAAGCCAGGACCACTCAGGACCGTGCCAGTAGCCTTCACAGAGCAACGTGCTTTGGGACTTGCATCCGCCTCAGCAAGGAGTGGATGCGGCCTACGATCAGCTGCACGGCTTCGTCAGAATATACAGACAGTTTGGGGCCACTGCCACGTAAGACACCCAGACTCAGAAGTCGAATCAACCTATTCGTGCTAATCCCAAACTGCAGCACGGCAAAGCTACTTTAGAGGTGCAAGATGCAAGGTTTAATGGCCGTGAATAATAAGTGAATCTGAGGCCCCGACAGCTCAAAGTGAAATTCCAGAGCACGTCGAGCACAGGAAGTACGGAAGCCCCCTAAAACTTGCTTGGTGGAGGTTGGCTCTCTGCGAGTCTGGCTGCGTTGCGAAAATGCGACTGAGGGGGTACTGCAATCTGGTGTGCTGATGGAGCTACCGAAATACTGCAAGCTCACATGCGGCTGGACTCGAGATACCCGTGCACTTAGGACTTGCTTGCAACACAGACATCGGGGCAATGATCTACAACTCCTGCTGCGTGCTGTGAGCAAGACGACAGCGCAGTCAACGGGTGCCCTGTTGATGGGCAAGGACAGTGCTTCGTGGATTTCATGACATTACAGAGCTGCGAAAGTTTCAAGCAACCCACAATGAAGAGTAATGCCACTAGACTAGGATCCCCATCATAATCCGTCGGAGGGTGAGTACAGTCAATGATTATGAAGCAGCTCTTCTCGCCTGGTCTTGGGCTCAGAGTGAGAAACTTGCTGGAAGTGGCCTGCAGCTTCGGACTGCCCCAATATTTTTTCCCTCCTACCTAGCAAGGACGACTGCCCCAATATAGGGTTTAGGGTTTAGGGTCTATACATAGCTATGCAGCTCTGTCCGGGTTCAACTTTTCTACAGTGCTCTAGTTTGTACTGCTCAAGCTACGCTACCTTTCCCAGATCTTCTATGTCGATACATTCAGTACGAATACTGAGTGCGTATGATAGTATGGTTGTTTATCTTTGTGTGGTATTACTTGCGAAGATATATACGTCTAAAATAACTTCTAACTGGACATTTCAGCTGGGGTTCAAAACACTCTGTCCTGGCTTAGCACGCCTCAGCCGCAACCCCTCCCCAAGTTAGTTCCCATTGGGGCTTCAAGGGTTTGCGGTGAAGTTTTTGCACCCGACAACTCGGACAGTCACTTTGCGAGCTCTCGCACCCACAAAGCCCCTTTTTGCATGCCTAAAAGATGGATGCTCCACCTAGGACTCTAATGTGGCTCCTGCCTACAGGACATGCGCGCCCCCGTTGCCCGCTCAAAGCTTGAAAAACTTGGGCGCAGCCTTGCCGTAGGCTTGGGCGTAATATAGGGGCCAAAAGAATTTGAATAGTGTTATGGGGTATAGTACATAGGTATATACAGTATGTAACTACTCTAGCTAATTGTTTCAAGCCCCTATACTAGGGTAAACTGACCTCTGTACAGCGCCAGTCGAGAGAGTCTGTGAGGCTCTGCTAAAGCGAGGGTGTCCCCTCGTGTGGTGCAGAAGGCGGACAGTGCAGATACCACGCGGCTTCTTGAAGATGTCTAGCTCGCAGCCCCTATAAGAGCGTGGCCTATAGTTGGAGGCATCTCCGCCATCCTAAATCCTAAAGCCTGAATCACCAAAACCCTTCATCCCAAACTACCATAGATTATTCGACCACATCAGCCGGTGGGGCAAGCCCCGGAAGACAGAAAGCACGTCGCAAGTCGCATGCGGCCGAAGTGCAATTTAATTATGCCAGGTAGACATCAGAATGCTGTAATATAGGGGCCTGTGTAATTAGAATAGGGTTTTAAGGCCCAGGTTACTATAATTGATCATCATTAAGGCGCCTATATTAAAGAACCCTACTATAGATCCCTTATAGACCCCTGTAAGGAACCCTTTGAAGGAACCCCCGAAATAGTATTATGTAGGCCCCTAGAGCTGTCACTCGGCCGATGCATTCTCGCGAAACGGCCCCGTTTGCAACTCGAGGATAAGGCGCCGGCGGAAGCCAGTGGAGTGGGTTTCTTACTACCCCAATAGGCCACAGAAATACAAGGTTAAACTTTCCGATTCCTACTCAACTATAAGAACCCAAAATTTTAGAGGTTAGGTATTGGGGATCTAAAGTTTTTTCCCTCCCAGAATGGAGTGGGTGTAGGGTTTTTCCCTCCTACATCCTCCTACCTAGCAAGGACAAAGCCCGCATTGCAGGGTACAGAGGGTTTCGGCGCCAAGGGTTTAGGGCTTCCATCGGAAGCCAGTGGAGTCACTCAGAAGCTCGCCGCGGCTTTAGAGTCACAAGGCAAGCATGTCTGAATAGTTCGAAGCTGCAATGGAACACCCACATGGCTTCAACCGGCACTTCGAGATTCAAACACCTGATGCTGCTGTCAGGAGTCGGGGCCAGGATGGACTATGAACAGAGGTGGCCAGGGCATGGGACTGAACCCGTATGCACACCAGGCCATTCCCCGACCTCCGGTCGTGGCTTCAATCTCACTCTGCTCGGTCCACGGCGACAGTGGAAGCCTGTCGGCAACAACAGATCGTGTCTTCCCCAGAAGGGGGAGGGCTGATACAGTATCAGGCATTCTTTTCCAGAAGTGGTTTGAGAACAGCTCCAACAGATAGACCCACTGGGCGATCAAGACTCATGCGGATGCACGTGAATCACGCGCACGCGCACACAGACTTCCATACCCTCAGCTCCGTCTCCAGCATATAGTGGGCAGAAGCACTTTGGGCAATTTGTTTTGCAGTCGTATGGAAAATTGAGTACCTCATGCGTGAAATCAGGTCAGCGACCCTTGATCCTCTGCAGTCCGACATGTGCAAACATGGATACACTCATCAATCCCAAATGAATCACTCGACGTTTGTCACTAATGCAACGAAGTGCGGTGGAGTTGCATATTACAGAATATGATAGAATAGAATTTTCGAAGCTTGTTTTAAGGATATTAAAGTATATAGATAAAGTATATTATAGTACAGATGCAGGTTCCCCCCCCCTCGCCGACTCCGAGCCTGCACTGCTGGCGCCGAAGGCTGGGCCTTCCACGAGCGAAGTCTGAGATCAACTCTGCAGGAGCTGCTTGGGTTTAGGGTCATTTTTTGCATGTTTTTTTTTGCCCCCGCCTTTCGTTTAGGATATATATATGTATATAGATATATATATATATATATATATATATATGGTTATAGGATTTAGGTTACTTGCAATCCGTCTCCATGTCTTGAAAGACACTGGGGCAGCTGCCAGACCCAAACCTGTGGCATTCCCAAACACATGCCTGCTAACTAACGTGCGTGCACCACAACCAGTTCAGAACAGAAACGCCTAATCACGGGAGAGCTACGGGGCTGCCCTTGGCCGGGTCAGAACTGATCACCTATGGTTCCTACAGCATACATTAAGCAGTCCATCTAATGGCTGCATCTAATATAGAGCATGATATAGCCGTCACCGAATAAAGATCAAACAAAATCAGAATCGAGGGGCTGATGGCATCAGCTTTCCGTCGTCATAATTCGCCAGGCGTGTATCATTGTCTTGGTAAACTGGGAGCCTCATGGATCCCTCTGGTCGCCCTCAGGCCGGAGATGAGTTCGACATCGCTGGGGTCGTCTTCTAACATGCTTGACTGCGAGGGGTTGGTACAGGTTTGACATGGTTTGACCATAGATATTTCGTGCACCTCGCCGGTGCGTAGTATGACAATCGTTAATTTCGGCTTTGGACGCAGCCTTTATCAGTTGCGTCATTCCTGCCACTGGCACTGGCCTGGGCATCTCAAGGCCCCAATCGTAGCAAAAAGCGGTAGCGCAATCTTCTTCTTCGTCGACAGCTTGGAAGATCACGTTGCTTGTGTGGGTTGGCAATATCGTCTCCCTCTTCAAGGCCTGTGTTTATGTGGCAGCATAGTCGTCACGGCATCTGGCCTCTGAACCATGGTGCTGCAAAGCTGGCACCCCTCAGCTTTAGGCCTCCGCAGCGTTTCAGCTGCAATCGCCGATCTCTTTCCTGCTCGAAGCTCTCCTTTGGAGAGCGGTTGCTCCATAGGTTCCTCCAGCAAATTGTGGTGACTCCAGCGGACCGTCACCAGCTCGAGGCGTTCACTTTATCGCTGACACTTCGCACTGAGGTCACCAAAAACCACATAAACACAAGGAACCTTTATAAGTGTATTTGAGGCTCCCTGGGCGACATGACCGAGCAGGAATGACTTAGAGAGCCTTAGACCCAGTCATCGGTGAAGCATCGCCAGTTAGGCCAAAGGCCTCTTCCAGTTTTCATGAGACCTGTGGGTGAGGATGGGTGAGGCAGTGATTGGGTTGGTCTTGGTCTTCGGATGCCCGCAGCCAGGGATAATGCACCCATCAGCCCCGGACTCGAGCCGTAAACAGCCGCAATCATCGAAGCAATCCTGACACTATACTAATATATGTACTAATATATATATATATATATATATACGTATATATATATATACACATGTATTTTTGAACCCAGGCTCTGCTCCATGTATATATATATATATATATATATATATATGTATGTATATAGATAACTACATATACTATAACATGTAATGTCTAATATAGATATACGCTACAGTATATAATAAATGATGCTGTCTCTGAACGAGCCTGGGCAGCTGCCACTGGGAGCGGCGGCGCCTGTTCTGACGGCTCTTTCCGCCAGTGGCAAAGGAAGTGATCCTGATAATTATATATATATATATAGATAGATAGATAGACAGGTATACAAAGATAGATACATAGATATATATATATAATATACCTGCATACATACAAAGTACAAGACACATCGTAGAATGTGAAAGCA